TGACAATGGAAATGAAGGAAGGAGCAAACCTCTATGGCTCGAACAGGGGCAGATGGGAGTAATTGTTCCAACCCCATTTTGCCGATAATTTCTTCGTCCTTGGGGAGCCACATTCGCCGAGCAACGGCCAGTGCTGCAAATGGGTCAGTGATCATAGAATCACCAACATGGAGGATGGACTTGTCAGCCCTCGAGAAGGAAGGAGTCCAAGGTGCCCCAGCCTCGACAAGGACGTAAGCGCTGACCTCATCCTCAGGGTTAATCTCCTCGGTTTTCTTCCCTTTGCTTTTTGGGTTAGAAGCACCCTTGGATTTCGCGGTTGAAGAGGGGTTCAGCCTTGCCCTTTTGTTCAAAGGGACATCGTCAATCTCCTTTTCCTACTCATTTGTACGCAATATAGTCAGCGGAGCATTCTCTACAGCTTTCCCCTTCAAGGCTTCAGCCCTCTGTTTTTCTTCCTCAGTCATGGGGAAGCTGTCAAATGATGGAAGTGAGAGGTTCATGAGATCAGCGGCTACAGCTCTGGAAGCAATTGCTTTAAAACTCGCAAAAGTGAGTAAGCTCTCGACCGAGGGAGGGTCGCTCCAGACCTGCCTTTCTAAGAAGGAAAGCCTTTTCTTGGCAGCCGAAGAAGGAAATGTTGCTGAAAAAACACCAAGAAACTCGTAAATATATCGAAAGAATAAGATTCGACATGGGAAACAGCCAGAGCAATCTTCATGAAGAAAAGGGGGATGTTCTATACCTAACTTCTGGAACTTGCGAAAGATTGGGAGTTTGCTCGATTGGGGCACGGCCCATCTCCCTTTAACAATTATCATCATCTCTTTCCACTTCTTCTCAGAAGTAGGGAGGTCTGTACATATCCTTTGGTGCAAGGGGGAAGTGAAAAAGAAACGACAAGGTTCGGTTCCATGCTTAGAAATAGAATAAGTAATCAGCAAGTCAGCCAGAGTCAGGTCAAAACTCTCCTGCCACCGGCGAATGAAGAGTGCTGAGATTACTCGAAGGAAGTTAGGGTTTACTTGTAGGGGTGCAATCCCCAATTTGTTGAAGACTAAATGATAGAAATGATGAAGGGGGAACCTAAGAGCGTTGAGGTGCCCAACAGAGAGGAGCAACTAGTCTTCTTCGACATCCTCGTCGGCGCAAAAATCAGCGCCTTTGGGGTATTATGCAATTTCTACCCCATCATGAATCTCGAATTCTTCTATTACGGATTCAATGGAGAACGGGATGCGACGAATAGATAAAATTGCATTTCTTTCTTCCTTAGTGAGGATATTATCCGACCCAAAGATGGATGTTTCAACCTGGATCGAGGAAGCACCCGGCTGATTAGCCGAGTCATTTACAGGTTTAGGGAAGTTCGAAACCCTAGGTGGGGGAACCCTAATGAGATTAGGGGAAGACGAGGGAGTGGACTTAGAATCTACGATCTCTATACGTTCAGGAGTAGTCGAAGTACTCATAATGCAAGATCGAAGAGAAAAAGATGAAGAACTAACCTGATAAGACGACGGAGTGAAGAATGCAAGAAACGTAGTGAGAGCAAAAGTAACCCTTATAGAATCTCTTAAGGCAGAATGGCAATGGGCAATCTTCGAACCATCTTTTTGTAAAATAGACAACCGTGCAACTTCAATTCCCTTTTTAATAGGAGCCGCAATCCAATTAAAGAAGGAATTGGAGGCAAAGTGTGGAGAGAAATATCTCCCTCCAATAAGAGCAGTCCACGTCATCATAAATATAACTTTATCTTCGATAAAGTTCAAAGCCCATCTCGTTAAAAGCTCAAGTTGAGTTGGTCATTAGCCCAAAACTACTGTTATCTAACTACCAGCTTTACTAAAGCCCGAATCAAGATGCCAGCAGCCCAATGTCACTAATGACAAACTTCTAGCCCATGAACAGAGTCATATGGACCAAGTTAAATGCGGCCCAAATCCATTTAAAGAAGGAGCCGGTCCTGCAAGGAAAAGGATTCACCAAAAGGAAGCAAGTTCTGTGTAAGGAAAATCTGGTGAGGGAAGAATTATAAAGAGGAAAGAATTCTATTTGTAAAGAAATTTATATATAGAAAGAATTAGAGGACAAGCAACGCGACTCTTACCATAATTCTTCTAACTTTTGTATATAAATAGAGGCCTAGACCTCCAATAAAGAACAAAAGTAATTCTACGCCTCTTTATACACTGTTCTTATTTATTTTTATTGTTTATTGAGTGAGTTGTGTTATTTCTCCTAATCATTATTGGTTGGACGAAATTTTGCGCCTACAATAGGGATTGTGGTGGTCCAGGGATAGTGGCTTTTGAGAGCTACGCCTATCATCCATCAACTTGAAAGAAAAAAAAAATGAATGTTGTGTGTATACTGTGTATATATATATATATATAGACAACCTTATCTCTACTGTTGAGTTGTTGCGATTTTATTGGCCTCTGAGAATTTACTTTACAAATTAGCAAGTTAAGTCCATGAACCCTTGAAACTGTGTCGTTTTTTATAAGGGCACCATGGTCTTTTGAATTTTCTGGTACCGGAAGGTGAGCTGGCTGGGTAAAATGCAAAAAATATATAGTTTAAGGGGTTTTTTTTTTGTAGTTTAGGGGGCTTTCTTGCAATACCCCAATAGTTCAGGGAGTTTTTCTGTATTTTACCCTTTAAAATATAACATAAACATTTGTTATTCTATCATATTTAGATTGTACTTTATTATTTTCCAAAACATAAGGTCAAAAATTCAAACTGCACAAAATGAGTGAGATGCAAATGTTAAAAAGAAAATAATTGAATTCAAAAGCGAAGTTTTCTGCCCTACAATTTCCTCGCAATAATTGTAGGACAATTTTTACCGTCCAATAATCAAGGACCTATTAATTTTATCAACTTTACGACTGATTGCAATGGCTATCGCATGTGCCAATCAAAATAATGTCACCGATTTGCATTCCCCGCTAAATATTTTTTTGCTCCCCAGTGTCGTCGATTTGTCGTTGTCTATGATGATGCCTCTCCATTTTTTTTCTCATCTCAAATTAATGCTTCATTTCACTCGTAACGCTTGCACCATAAACGTACATGCATGTGAACTCAAACTTGAATTTAATTTCAGTTTGGGTTTTTTAATCCAAATAGCACTCCATGTTAAACAAATATTAGAGTTGTTAACAATGATGAATTCACTCACTACAGACATGGTGACGAAAATAGGACCAATTCTTTAATCACACTTGAATTCGAGTTAGTAGGCAAGAATGTCACTCTAGTTTAGGGATGATAATTTTTTCCAATCCGACGGGTTTTTGCCCCGTCATGTTTTTAATGGGACAGATTTAGTAATTACCTAAATGAGTTTGGGGTGAATATGATAAAATAATTAAAAACTCGAAGCGGGTTTGGGGCAGATGCGGATTTAGTGATAAACACATCCCAATTATATATATACCTTTAAAAATTATATATACATATATATAAATTTTAAGACTATTGTTACCTTGTTACAAGTGTTCGTTAATATATTAATATTTATTACTTAGTAAATTAAAAGTCGGATCAACTTATTTATCACCCCAATTTGAGTACATCGGGCTATTTTTTTTTTTTTTTTTTTTTTTTTTGTTTTACTAAATATTAAAAGTAACATAACCCAATCGTCCCCGTAATTAAACGAAATACGCGGGGCGGAGTTGGTACTTTGTGTACCGAAGTAGGGGCGGGGATGGTATATCAATTATAAATCCGTCACAGAGTAGGAGCGGAGTTGGTATGACAGATTTTCTAACAGGGCGAAGTATGGTTTAGCTAACTCTGCCCTTACTCCGCCCTGTTGCCATCCCTACTCTAGCCAATTCATATATATAGAGAGAGATACCAGTAGCACATGACATTATTTTTACTAATTTATTATGAGTAATGATACTTATACCGATGAATTATGCAGAATTGCTAGGCCTATTACATTTGATTCGTTAATACATATCAAATATCAGAAAGTGGGACATCCACTTTCTTAGTTAATGCATTAATGACCAATCAAATTTAGTAAGCTTAGTAATTTTGCATAACTCATCGGTGTAAGTATCATTACACATTTATTATTAGCTATTTTTACTAATTTATTAGCTCTTTTGCGGTTGTATAAACCATCGGGATGATAATCTAATGGCAAATTCTACCAACACATATTTTATAAGTTTTCGAAAATAATTTGAGTCTTAAATTTAGATCTATTAATGGATCGGATTTTAATCCGAATCTGATCTAAATCCAACCCTATTACTTAGATATAGATTAAATAAAAAAATTTGATAATTCGTTACCTTAACAAATCAAGTATGGATTATAGGTAATTCGATCCGATTAAAATTATACATATATATTTATTACATTACAATATACCATATATCATATATGAATGTTATATATATGAGTTACATACTATTAAATTTATATATATTAATTATTTATCATTTTATTCATTTGGTTGAATCATCCTGTACATTAATAATTGTCCACCAATTAACCTTAGAATTAGACCATGTCCGTAGACAAGATTTTAATCCAATTCTAAATCAAATCTGATCCAGATATTAATTGGATTTCGAACATTCAATCCGATAACCTGTTAGCGATCCAAATCTAATAATCCATTAACAAAACAAATTAAATATGAATTTGATCGATCCATCCAAATCCGATCCGTTAACAAGCTTACCTCTATTATAGCATACTATAACGTTTTTCAACCCAATTACATCTAGGTAACTATGGCTCAAAAGGAATCTAGGAAGGATTGGGTTGTTCTGATAAAACTCCTGCAAAAACAATAAATAACATTGAAGTCACTTCAATACTAATAAATTAATCACATGAAACAAAACAACAGCACTCAAGTAAAATAAAGAAAGCTCAAGATCGAAGCTAGAGCTAGCTATATGAACATCATCAAGTGATGAAAACAAAAACAATAAGAAGGTAGTCTAATAATTGAGAAGTCAAAGGATGTTTCTCTGAGAAGCCTTGAAATTCAATCCAGAGCCATCCAACTTCTCCTCCATGAGCTTCTTCAAACGTTCAGCCATGGAAGGCGTCAAATAATTAGCCCAATCACCCACCTTTGCTTTCCTAAAAAGCGAACTATGTTCAAACCCACACTTGAGTTTGCCATTGTTGTTGACCTGCAAATCCTTGAGACTTTCAAAACTACACATTCTTGACACTTGCTCTATCACCCCATCTCTCTCTTCGTCCCCGAAAAAGCGAAGCCCAAGAACTCCGCCAACTTCTTCAGAAGCTCAAAATTCTTATCCTCTTTCAAGTCCTCGTATTTCAAGAATAACACCTTGTTTGGATTCTCCAAACTCGCTTTCCAGTACCCAAAACATGGTCCCAAAAGGGTCCATAACCCTGAACTCCCTTGCAATACATATCAAAACTTTCTTCCAATGGAATTGGAAGCTCCAAGCCTTCTTGGGAACGTTTCAACAAGAAATGCCAGTGGGAGGTGAATTGGTCCAAAGGGTTTTGACAAACGTAGACAATCCGGCAACCACCGGAGTCTCTGATAGAAATGGGCAGTGAAGCATATGGCATATGGCATGTGGGTAGTGAACATAAGGGCTTTGAGCCAAGTGGTGCCACATTTTGGGAAACTGGCTATGAAGAGGTCTGTTTCGCGGGCTTGGAAGTGGCGTTGGAAAGCTATCACGCCGTGAACAGCCATTTCCGGACACCAAAAGCCTTGGAATTGGCGTAGGTGAGTGGTGCCATCCCAGTTTCTCACTCTAGGAAGAGTTTGGAGCAGAACGTCTTCTTCAACTTCCATTCTAATGAAAGATATGTTGAAGTTCACTGTCAACTGTTCACATGATCATGTCTGTACGTATGTGCGCGTGTATATATATCAAAAAATAAAAATGGCTGCATTAATTACATATATTGAAAGAAGACTTAATTATTATGGTTTTACAAATTTTTTCAGGATTTTAAGGTGTTTGATCACCATAATTTTTGTGATAAATATCATGGGAAAATTTTTTGAATACATGTCTGGCAAATATTGTTGGAAACGGGGACATTAAAATCATAAACTTTGAATGAGATTTTAAATAGATTCCGCTAAGATTTTGAATAGACAATACTACTGTTTGGCCATATATATATATACTTGCACTATCAAATTTTAGATACTTTTTATTATATATATAATATATATATGTGCACTGTCAAATTTTAAAGAGGACAATTATATAAATATAAAAATATTTTCTTATAAAATTTTAAAAAATTAAAAGTTTTGCCCCCACTTGGCCTTTGTGGCTACGTGTAATAAGGGTCATTTTGTCCCACATCGGAATCGGATGGGAAAGAGATTTGGTATAAATGAGTGGGTATGCAGCCTTACCTAACAGTTCGAGCTTTTGGGTAAATGGGCAAGCGCCCACCCGTTACAGTTGGTATCAGAGCCAAACCCAGTCCTTGATCCGGTGTCACGCCAAGCGCCCGGCCCGGAAGGCGTCCGGGTGAGTCCACCCGGGTAGGCAGGGTGGCCCAATCGCAACGAGGGCGTTGCGAGTTTGGGTGGAGGAGAATGTAACAAGGGTTATTTTGTCCCACATCGGAATCGGATGGGAAAGAGATTGGGTATAAATGGGTGGGTATGTAGCCTTACCTAATAGTCCAAGCTTTTGGGTAAATGGGCAAGCGCCCACCCGTTACACTACGCCACTAACTATACAATGACACCTCCCATAATGGTATAAACTATACAAAGACAGAAAAACAAACAACACACACTACCACACTGCCATTTCCAACTGATACCAATGGAGCAAAAAGATGTCCCCAGAAGCTGCATTTCAGTGGAATTTGATGGGGAAGATGAGTTGCTCCAAACTCTCCCTAGAGAGAGAAACTGGGATGGCACTTCTTACCTATGCAAAATCCAAGGCTTTTGGTGTCCATCATGGGCAACTCATGGTTTGATCTCCTTCCAAAAACACTTCCAAGCACGCGACACCGATCTAGTCTGGCCAGTGTCCCCAAATCAGGCATCGCTTGGTCCAAAGCCCTCGTGTTCGCCATCGCGAACCGCACTTGTTATGGTCTCAATGACAACCCTTTGCTCATTGCCAATCCTCATGACCTAGTACCCTTCTTGGAGTTCGATCTCTACTTGGACAAAAACAACTTCCCAAACCTGGAGGATCAAACCGACGTCCCAAGGATTCTCTCAACCCATGTACCATATGCATCACTACCAGTTTCTAGAGTCGGGTTGTCGCATTGTGTACGTGTGTCGAAACCCTTTTGATCAGCTCGTCTCTCCAACTGGCATTTCTTACTCAAACGTTCCCAAGAAAATGTGGATCCACCACTTTCATTAGAAGAATGTTTTGACATGTATTGTAAGGGAGTTAACAATTTCGGACCCTTTTGGGAGCATGTTTTAGGGTACTGGAAAGCGAGTTTGGAGAATCCGAACAAGGTGTTATTTCTGAAATACGAGGATATGAAGGACGATATCAACTTCTGTCTCCTTAAGAAGCTGGCCGAGTTCTTGGGCTTCCCTTTTTCGGCCGATGAAGAAAAAGATGGGGTGATAGAAGAAGTATCGAGGTTGTGTAGTTTTGAAAATCTTAAAGATCTGCAAGTCAACAAGTCCGGAAAAATTTTGGGATTTCAGAAGAGTTCGCTTTTCAGGAAAGGCGAGGTCGGAGATTGTGCCAATTATCTAAGTCCTTCTATGGCCGAACGTCTGAAGAATCTGGTGGAAGAGAAGTTAATTGGCTGGTTCTGGCTTAAGTTTCAAGGCTTCTTGATCAGCTATATTAATCCATAGCCTTGGAATCAATTTAATACTTGTGTCATTGTGTGTTGTGAGAGAATAATTAACATTGTGTTCAAGTTCATCTCGTGCTTGCTCAATGTTATGTATGTAGCTTCGTCAGTTCGTCAATGCTGCATACAGTTGCATTTGTGTGGTTTTCTTTTTGTTTTTATGATCAGCAATAAGTGCATATGTGTTCAGATGTTCACGTTGGTGAACACTGAGTTACTCTTGTATTTCTTCCATTTTATAAATAGTCGTTATTTGAATGAGGTGGAACTTTAAAATTCAAAGCATTTGCCGACAGATAGTGTATATATACAGGGGAGCGAAGGGGGAAACTGGCCCCTAACAATGACAACAGTAGAGCAAATCAAACAGCTTAAGGAAAGAAAAAAAAAAAAAAAAAGGCCTAGAGGCTACAAATGATACAATAGGCCAGACAACCAAATTCAAAATTGAAGAAATTTTAAGGACTTCATACAAATGGTTTGGAGGGAAATATTTTTTTACAGCTGGAGAAGCAAATTTTGAACTAAACTTCTTTCAATTCCAAATTCAAGACACCGATTACATGCTCTCAAACCTAAATTATCACTTCTACTAAATATGATGCCAGATTGGCGCAATTACAAGTTTTTTTTTTTTCTTTTGGACAAGTCAATGTATTAATAAAAAAAGTGGAATTTCACCATTATTATAGGGAATTTACTATTGATGGGGATGAAATTTACCAACAGATCCAAATCAATCCTGGATAGGATTTGTCACCAAAAGTAAGCGGAGTTAGGCTAGTGTATCAGTTTTTTAGGCAGAATTCTATGTGGTCTAAAAAAATATGGGGTGTGAGTTCCTTGTTATGGTTTAAAAAAAAAAAAAAATTAAGATTTTGCGTGTTTGGTACGCTAGAATAGAATTCTCGTCCAAACTTTCATTTACTTTCTCATATTTGGTAATTGGTATGCTAGAATAGAATTCTCGTCCAAACTTTCATTTACTTTCTCATATTTGGTAAGTGTTAGCGGTGTCTTACATCGAATAAAAATGAAAAATGAAATGAGCATATATGAAAGAGTATGCATGCAGTACTATCCAAATATTCAATAGTTTAAACTTTTTGGTTAAAAAGTAAACATCTTATTTGAAAATTTGGATAGTATTGCATGCAAACTCATTATGTCACATTTAATTTTTCTTGTCATGATAAGGATCTTTTGATACTATTTTTATATATTAATGCACAATGTCATGATGGGGATCTTTTGATAATAGTTTTATATATTTATACACAATGTCACGAGAGGGATCTTTTGATAATTTTTCTTGTCATGATAAGGATCTTTTGATAATATTTTTATATATTTAAACACAATGTCATGAGAGGGATCTTTTGATATTATTTTTATATACAAAATTTTATTGTATTTGCTTAGAGAGCGAATTATTGAGCCATGTCGGGGCTTTACAACTTTGAAATTGATGGCTAACAGGCTAAGCTAACCAAAATAATTAGTAAGATATTGGTGATGGTTTCCAGTACTTCATGAGAGACCTTTCTAGCTTCTCCAAGAAATTTAAGAGTATCTCCCTAAGAATCTATGCAATTTAGCTAGATAAATGTGGTTGAGAACTCAATGCCCATATTAATGAACAACATGAAAAATGAAAGACAACAATACATATTCAAATTAAATGTGGAAATAGTAAATACAAGATCGAGCCGAGTATAACTCAGCTGGATCAGTTCACCATGGTGAACCAGTACCGTACAGTCCTTATTGCTGATCATGCATGCAACATTGACAAAGCTAGCTAAGTACATAACATTGAACGAGCACAAGAGGTACTCGAAAACATTGTTAATTATTCTCTCACACACAAGGAAATTAAGTTTTAGGATTAATCAATATAGGTAATCAGAAAGCCTTGAAACTTAAGCCAGAACCAGCCAACTTCTCTTCCACCAGATCCTTCAAACGTTTGACCATGGAAGGAGTTAGATAATTGGCCCAATCTCCGACCACGCCTTTCCTAAAATGTGAACTTTTTTTAAACCCTCCAGCCAATTCTCCGGTCTTGTTAACCTGCAGATCCTTAAGATTTTCAAAACTACACAAGCTCGATATTTGTTCTATCACACCATCTCTCTCTTCCTCCGCCGAAAAAGGGAAGCCCAAGAACTTGGCCAGCTTAAGCAGCTGACCGAAGTTAACATCCTCTTTCAAGTCCTCATATTTCAAGAATAACACCTTGTTTGGTTTCTCCAAACTCGCCTTCCAATACCCTAAAACATGGTCCCAAAAGGGTCCAAAACTGTGAACTCCCTTGCAATACAAGTCGAAACATTCTTCTAAAGGAAGTGGTGGATCCACATCTTCTTGGGCACGTTTGAGTGAGAAATGCCAGTGGGAGATGAGCTGATCAAAAGGGTTTCGACACACGTACACAACGCGACAACCCGAGTCTATGATAGAAACTGGTAGTGATGGATATGGTAGGTGGGTTGAAAGAATTCTAGGGTCACTTCTGTCCTCCAGGTTTGGGAGGCGATTTTTGTTCACATAGAGATTCAACTCCATGAAGGGTACGAGTTCATGAGGATTGACAGTGAGCAAAGGGTTGTCTTCCAGACCATAACGAGTGCGGTTCACGATGGCGAACGCGAGGGCCTTGGACCAAGTGGTGCCTGATTTGGGGACACTGGTTAGGATTAGATCGGTGTCGCGTGCTTGGAAGTGTTTTTGGAAGGAGATCACACCGTGAATTGCCCATGATGGACACCAAAAGCCTTGGAAATGGCAGAGATAAGAAGTGCCATACCAGTTTCTCTCTCTAGGGAGAGTTTGGAGCAACTCCTCTTCTTGATCAGCTTCCATTGAAAGACAGCTTTTTTGAGAAAATGGCAGTGTGTAGTTTGTGTGTGCATGATATACCAATGAACATGTATCTATGGTTGTTAGTTTACACACTTTCTTTCCAATGTTTTTTTATTATTTATTTTTTTAATTCATAACGATATCCAATTGAATGATTGGTGGGGAGCAATTGCTTTTTCAACAAGGTTGTGCCACTGCTTGTGGACAATCTTTGCTACTTCCCTGAATCATGTGGAACTGATGGGTGCAGTGATGGAATGGCCGCATTACTGCACTGGTGGAGGGTTGGACTTATTTTTGCTTGTTTGATAGAAATTTTGGAGGTCATAAGTTGGTTTTGGATGTCTATGTTTTAGTTTTTTTCCCAAATTGAAACACTACGGTACACTTTATACAAGCTTATCCTTTAACTTAAAAAAACACTTACTTTCATTATATGTTAAGAACAGTAATGGAATTGAATTCCACTTATATCACTCCATCATCAACTACAAAAAACATAAAATGCAAGTATCCACCATGTATATATGCAAAATATATATTTGAAAGACCAACTACTAAAACCAAGTTTATTTTATGTGGTCTGCCGCAACCATGGTGCATATTAATTAGCAGTGACAACATTTAATACAACACGTTAACACGATACGATATATATAAGCAGTTTTGGATTTGGGCTAATCGTATTTGTATTATAATTGTGTCGACACTTATTGAGCCGCTAACTAAACGTGTCATGTTCAACCCTATGAACACAATTAACTAAACGTGTCAGATAAACGTGTCGTGTTCGTGTAAAAAATGACTTAAATGTGTCTTTTTCGTGTTGTGTCAAATCTTAACCCATTTATTAAATAGGTTATGCATATCATGTTACACGTATAATAATCGTATCGTATCCGTATCAAGGTCTTAGACATTTTTAATAATCGTGTCGTTTTCGTGTCGACCATAATCGTGCATGCGTCGTAATCGTGTCGACACGAACACGACACGCCAATACGAATTGTCACCCTAATATTAATGCAACAGTAGCATTCTTGTGTTTTCTTTTGAGTAGACTTAACCTCAACCTCGACCTAAACCTTTATCAAATACCAAAAATAATAATAATAATAGAAGAAAATATATTACCTGATAAAAGAAAATATTTTATGAATAATATGTTAAAAATTATACAACACTATTTAAAAAAAAATTAAAAACCCCCCATGTGACATTTTGAAAAAAATTAAAAACCCCCCATGTGACATCTTTAACGAAAAAAATTAAATAAATAAGAGCTTTAAAAGAAAGTAGTGACATTTTGAAGCCCATGTGAGACTCGATTTCGAAATTAAGAATCTGAACCGGAACTGTATACTCATGATTTTGAAATTAAGAATCGGGATTAGAATCGGAATTGTGAGAATCGGAACTGAACTCACGGTTCCGATTCAGTTCTCACGATTCCATGGTTCTTTTGTACACTCCTAGTGAATTATTTATATTAATGAAAGAGATGTTTCACAAACTTCAACATGATTATAATTTATAAGGTGTGTGACCCTTTAATCTGCATTTGAATTCTAATAGTATTATTGAAGGAATCTTTCTTTATGAAAGGCAAGTGAAATATATAGTGATCTAATATGTGAAGTGCTCCGCCCATGATTACAATTTATAAGGTGTTATTAAAGATCAATTTTTTTTTTGGCACATTAGGGAGAGACTTGAACACTGGCACAAGAGTAATGCCTGATTAAAGAAAAAATTTATATATATTTTTCTGTAATGAGTATTTCCGAATGTTTTTGAATGTCTAGCATTAAACTTAGCTAGAAGGTTATCCAGATAACGAAAGCCTTTTGTGAAGATCGTAATTATTGACTTGTTATCTTTTAACTATGTCATGCATGCAACCGGCCATTTCAAAATATAAAAACTCTCAACGAAAATATCAAGGGAATATTTGAAGTTTTTTTTATTATTATTAACACTAGTTGAAATTTTTTTATGTTGTCATTGTTTAATTAAGATAATCCCCTCAAATAGTTGTTAAATTTAGGAATTCAAAGATTTCTAGAATGTCAAATGTTTGAATTAAGTGTGTCAAAGATTATATATTTAATCATATATATAAGATATTCTAGAGATTGTGTTGCTTAATTTTAGGGATTATGTTTAAAGATAAGCCTATAAATACTCTGTAAAATTCATGAAATGAAACTAATGAAATACAATTCATCAAATTAAACAATAGTTTTGTCACCGGCCATGGGCACATGTATATGTGGTTGCTGCCTTCTTAAAAAAATATATAATAAAATAATATATATATATTTATTTATTTATTTAAAAGAAGGACCCTGCTTTAAATTGTATCTCATTTGCAGGGACTCTACGTTGTGTGCGCTATCATCCATCATAATTATTTTATGAGGCCCACTAAAAATAAAAATATGATGATATTAATTAATAGTAATTCTGAATGGTGGCTGCAACGTTTATTATTATTATTATTAATATTTTTTTCGTGTTTGGGTAGGTGTTGCATGTTACCAGAAAAAGTTAATATATGCTAAAATAGTGAAAAGATAGATATACCAAAGATATGCCATCTCTATATATATCATGTTGTCCGTCCACGACAAATTCCCAGCCTCGTGTAAGCTCTGTTTCTCAGTTCTCTAGCTTTTTTCACATATATACATCTCCAAGTGGATTGGGTACGGACAGAATCGTAATCAATTTGATTCCAATATGATAAACATATTAAAATTTAATCTCATAATTCAATGAACTTTTTTTCTTTTTCTTTTTTTCTTTAAGTTCGGCAAAGAAAGCTAATAATTAATGCTTTTGATAATATTTGAACTTTCTACTTTTTATTTTAAAATGAAAGGAGATTAAAGAAACAAAAAAAAAAAAAAAAACAACGCCACGTAAGCAAAAAATGGCTAGTCCAACATGTATGTGTCGATACTTGGATGCAAAATAATGAGACCTATACACGCGGGTCCCAAATTACCAATGCGTTGCACGCAAATGTATCGACAAGCCATTTTGATTGACTATTTCTGCATGACTATCATTTTTCAAAAAACATAAGCTACTCCATTCCACTTTCTTTTAAAAACTAATCATTCATATTATTCATACACTCGATATCAATCTATGAATAATATGTTAAATATTATATTAAAATTTTAATAGTAAAAACTTTTTTAAAAAAAAATTAACTTCTTTACATCCTTCAATACAAATCTCAACTTCCGGTATTGACTAAATATATATATATATATTTTTAACTGTAAAAACCAAAAAATACATAAGAGAAGTGGAGCTAAATATTTAAAAAAACAAACACTCCACCCTAGTTTCTTCTAGAATTTGATACTAGATACTTCATGTTGTTCGTATCCCTCAATATTAGCTCACAATATTAAAATATAAAATGCCACCTGATGATAAACATGTTAATAATTTAATAGAACTTTTTTACATGCTTCAAATATTATATCTTCGATATAAAACTTTGAAATTTACTTTTCAAAAAAAAAAAAAAATTATTATATCTTCGGCCTTCAGTTTTTACTATTTATGTTATGCACAACACTTTAAATTAAATAGAAGTGGAGGTAATTAAGAAAAAAAACAAAAAGTTGCTCCACTTTAATTAGTTTATTCAACAAGTTGATACCCCATACCGTCCGCATGCCTCAATGTCACTCCACATTCCACAAAGCCAAAAAGTAAATTTAAAATGTTAGAACATCTCCGACGATATGTTAAAAGTTACTCCACTTTAATTAGTTTATTCAACAAGTTGATACCCCATACCGTCCACATGCCTCAATGTCACTCCACATTCCACAAAGCCAAAAAGTTAATTTAAAATTTTAGAGCATCTCTGACAGTCCGTTAAAATTTTTGGTGTGAATCTAATGTGTTACAGTAGATTTACACAAAAAATTTGTTCTAACTATTTTTAACTCCTGCAGTTGTTTTATACCTTTTGTGTAAAAAATTATCCCCAATAATAATCAACCAAGTGTCATACCTAAAGCCCTACATAACTTTTACAAACATACTTTATTCAGTTTATTTTTTGGCAATTAAACTTTACGTCCCAATTCTCTTCAGTTAGGAAAAAATAATAATTTCTCCCTATATTTCATTTTCCCATCCCGTCAATAGCAAACCTTTTACGCCATCGCCACCGAAATTCTAACTTATAAGATTTAAGTATGTAGAAACTACGTAATTAAAATATATATCTAATTTTTAGATAATACATATTTATCTCATTAGAATATAATGTAAAATGATAAAAAAAAAATCTAAAAAAAATCCTAGAATCTACAGTATGATTATAGAAGATTATATAAAACGAAAGTGATGAATCAAACTATATTTATTAAAATAAATAAATAAAAGATAGTAGAGCAGTTCTTACTTTGCCGCCAGTTACAGATTCTTCTCTATTCCACTATAGAAAAGTGGGAAACAAAGAGGGCGTAAAGGAATGAGAGAGAAGAAAAAGAACCGCGAGTGTAAAAGTGGAGGAGAGAGAAAATATGTTTATATGGTAGTGTAAAAGTGCTGTGTAAAATACACAACCCTTTTACACATTGGTGATGTGACAGTGTATCTTAACAGACGGCTGGAGATAAAAAAAAAAATATTACAAATCACATGTGGCAGTGTATATTTTATATAAAAGGGTTTTTTAACAAACTGCTGGAGATGCTCTTTGATCATGTTAAACATGTTAACTGTTGTATTTAAAGAAAGGAGAAATATATATATATATATATATATATATACTAGGAAAAGGCACGTGCGATGCACGTGGTGAATATTTTGTAACTTATAAAATTTTTGTCTTCATATTGATTAATAAAAATTTATTTTATATTAATAAATAAATACTGAAATATTTTGAAATTGGTGATAGAGTTTAAGTTTCGTAAATTAATAAATTCTTTTATGTTTTTATATTAATACTGAAATATGTA